TTTTTTAAATACTTTTATCAGGGCCTCTCACATCTCTAATCACAATTCAAACATTCATCCAGTGTGTCAAGCACCTTTGCACATATGCCACCATTTAGGAATTTCGAGTACACTTTCCTAAGACCTGACACTGCTACCATTTGAATTGACCAGAATGTAGGAAGTCAGGACTGAGTTGAGTTCACTTTGTTTACTAATCCTTAGTAATGTTAGGTCAACTAAAGCTTCAACTCCTTGTGTTGTCCACTTAATTATTTACTGTAATAATTTGTAAATGGTTGTAAACTCTATCTACAGAGGATATTCATAAAAAATATTTTACCATATCATAGTTTAAGTTAAAGAAAGAAAGGAGTTGTCATGGAAAATATATCAGATAAAGGTCTTACATGTCATTATGCACAATTCAGGATTTTAGGGAATTTCTGATGAAAGTTCTTTAGAAGTTTGGTGCCTCTGACTTAAAGAATGCCATTCACTTTATTGTGTACAAGATGTAGCAGAAATGTAATACAATCTGATGTCAAGTAAAAGTGAAGTCATCGTGTTTGTAATTTTTACAAAGTGTCTGTACTACATATAGGTAACTGCTGCCCTTAAGGGACAGCATTTTGATGGAAAAAATAAACCTGCACACTGCTTAGCGTATGTTAGGCTTTCAATATTTGTTTATCTTATATCTAATAAATTAGAAACAAAATCTGTTGCTTGGAATAATCATTATGAAGTGATTATTTTTTACATAAGTGAAACAGAAATTAATGTCTTTAAGTAGTTTTGGTGGAGGAAAAAAGGTGACTTTCTCCTTCAATAGAGGATAGAATCAGAATGTTGTATATGTTGCCTATTCACATTTTTAACTTTTGAAGGATTAAAAAAGACAACCAACCGAACTAGAGAAAACAAGAACGGACATCAACACGGAGCTAAATGCAAGCAGGCAGTGTGCATTCCAGCAGGAGGTTTGCTTTCAGAGATCTCTAATCTCTGTTCCTCATCAGACCTCCACTACCAGGCACCCACATCTAAAGGCCACCCTTCCTGAAGTCAAGATATAAATTAGCTGTTTACATTTGGAAAATGCTATTTTAAATATCAGATGAAGCCCTGGTAGCACAATTTAGCTTGGGCTGCTAGTTCAAAGTTCAGCAGTCTAAACCCACTAGCCACTCTGAAGGGGACAGATGAAGTGGTGTGCTTTAATGTAGAGTCACAGCCGTAGCAGTCCCACTAAGCAGTTCTAGCCTGCCCACAGGGTCCCTGTGGGTTGAAATGGACTTGCTACAAGTGGGTTATCATATGTATTCTGTTTTATCAATTTATCTCGAAATGGAAAAAAAGATTTTTAAAAATTTTCAGATAGCTCAGGTTTTCTACAGTATGTTTTCACCTCTTAACAAATGAATTGCTAAAGAAAGATTTTGGTTTGTTCAGAGATTCATAGGATAATGTAGGATGGGATAAAATACTTGAAAGTTCTTTTAAAAATGTTTCACAGCAGGAAGATAATGAAATTCTCTTTATCACTGAAGAGTTGGTTCAACCACCTCCAACTGGTTTTAGATGAACAGTCACCAAGCTGAAGTGAGAAGAAGACTACAGGGGATGGGAAATATCATTTCCCTGTCCGTTGTTTGTGCTGTAGTGGCTTGTGTGTTGCTGCAGCACTAGAAGCTATGTCACTGTTACTTCATATGGTAGTAGGACCACCCAAGATGCACAGTTTACAGGAAAGCTTCCATTCTAAGAACAGATGACGAAGAAGAAATAGACTGTCCACTTCTGAAAACCTGATGAATAGAAGTATATTATTATCAGCTCGTGTCAAAAGGTGAAATAACTGCCAGGCACTGAGAATTTAGTCACTGAAAACCTTATGAGTAGCAAGGAAGTGCTGTCAGAGATAGTGCAGAACACAAGACCCTGAAATAAGGAGGTACTCAAAGGAGGGCTTGCGAAGAGCAGCCTTCTCTAAGTCGTGTCATTAATAACGATGTCAATGGAGTCACGCTTTCGGGTCTGTCATTTGTTAGGTGGCATGACTCACAATGAGAAGAAACAGGTGTAAGTATTCATTATTAATCCAATTATAGAATACACAAAGTATGAATATAGGAAAATTGGAAGTCATAAAAAATGAAAAAGAATGAATAAAATTGGATAGGGTAATTACTAATGAGCTGCAATCGACTGGTATTGGCCATTTAGAATCAGAACATCATAAAGTTACTATGTCAAAAATGACAAGTTTAAGAGAAATTTCATCACGTTCATTGTCAAAAAGTACATCTTAAGTACTCTTTTTTTTTTCCTTCCCATTATCATCAAGTTATCAGTGAGAGAGTTCAACTTGGGGTAGATCATCATGTATTTAAGTACTCTTTTGAAGTACATTGATGTCATAGAATATTAGCTATTTCCTACAGAGAATTCCAGTTTACATGACCATTCAAAGTCACACACAACCACTAAAGCTAGTGATGAAAAAAACTGAAGGATTCCTCCATCTTTTTTCAGTCTTAAATCAGTCGATCGTGCATTCAAGGAGCATTGACACGTCCTAGGACTTGTAATACAGAAGTTGGAAACAAAAATAAAGCATCAGTAGTTGGAAAATCTGGCTTTGGTGATAGAAACAAAGCTAGAGATTTTAATATCGATTTTTGTGAGACCAAGATATGTAAAGTATGGTGTGTGGTGCCGGTGAAGAATATTGAAAGTTTCATGGACTGCCAAAAGAACAAACAAATCTCGCTTGAAAGAAATACTGCCAGAATGCTCTTAGATACAAGGATGGTGAGTCTCAAGTACTTTGACCATGTTATCAGGAGAGATGTCCTTGGAGAAGGACATCATGCTTGGGACAGTAGCAGGGCAGCGAAAAAGAGGAAGACCTTTGACACGATGGATTGGCACAGTGGCTACACTGATAAGCTCAAACATCAGAACAATTGTGAGAATCACACAGGCACGGGGGTGTTCACTCTTGTTGTACACAGGGGTCACTCTTGTTGTACACAGGGGTCACTGTGAGTTAAAACCAACTTGATGGGACATAATAACAATAAGAACAAAACTTCTTCATTGAAAACCTCTTTCAACAACATAAATGGTAGCTCACATGGACCTCACAAGAAGGAACCCAGGAATCAACTTTGACTACATCTATGGGGAAACTTGAGGGAGAAGCTCACGATCACTAGGCAAAATGAGACCAAGGTCAAATTGTGGACAAGACCAACAATTGTTCATATCTAAGTTCAGGTGCTAGCTGAAGAAAATTTAAATAAATCTATGTGAGCCAAAGAATGTTTAGAGTACATTCACCTGAATTTCAGGTGCATATCAAGAACAGATTTGACACACTGAGTATGATAAAGACCTGATGAGCTTTAGAATGACATCAAAAATGTCAGTCATGAAGAAGGCAAAAGATGATTAAAGAAACAAGAAAGAAAGAAAAAAATAGAAGTGGATTTCAGAAGAGACTCCGAAACGTGCTATTTAATGTAGCGTAGCTGAAACAAATGAAAGGCATGATGAAGTAAAAGAACTAAAGAGAAAATTTCAAAGGATAGCACCTGAAAACAAAGTAAAATGTCACAAAGAAATATGCAAAGTTCCAGAGTTAGAAAACCAAAAAGGAAGGACCAGTTGAGCATACGACGAGTTTAGGAACTGAAGAGAAAATTCAAGCTTCAAGCTGTAGTACTGAACGAATCTATGGGCAAAGTATGGAATGACTCAGGAGCAATACACAGAGTCACTGTAGCCAAATAGTCAACAATTGCGAGAGCTGGAATCCATGACACCAAAGGAGGAGTCCAAGCTGCACTAGGCGCCTTACTGAAAAGCAAGGCCCCGTGAATTAACAGAATACCAAGGAAAATGGTTCAATAAGCTGATAAAATACTACGGCACTCACTCCTCTGCGACATGAAATGTAGAAGACAGCTACCTTGTGAATTATGTGCCATTCCCCCCCAAACACCAAACAGGTTCCTCAACAGAATGCAGAAATATTGAAAAATGTCATTGCTATTGCATGCAAGTAATAGTTGTTGAAGATAATTCAGTAAAGGTTGCATCAGTACATCAACAGGAAGCTACCAGAAATTCAAGCTGGATTCAGAAGAGGATGTGGCCCCAGGGATACCATTGCTGATGACAGATGGAACTTGAGAGAGATCAGTCTGGAAAAGGACATCACGCTTAATAAAGTAAAAGGGTGAGGGTGTAGGGAAAAGGAAAACCTTCAATGAGATGGATTCACAGCGTGGCAACAATAGGCTCAATCATAAAAATTGTGAAGATTGTACAAAGCCTGGCAGTTTCCCTGGGTTGTCCAAAGGGTCACTATGAGAGGGGACTAATCTGACAGCACTTCCCAGCAGCCACATTCCCAAGTTGGATTCAGCAGGGAACATAGCTGGCAAGATCTCCTTACTGAGATTAGATGGTTCTTGGCTGAAAGCAGAGAATGCTAGAAAGATTTTTACCCACCTAACATTGATTATGCAAAGGCATTTTACCTGTGTGTATCACAACAAATGGAAAACATAGCAAATAATGAAAATCCTAGAACTTTTTATGCCCATTCAAACACTGTACATATACAAAGAAGCAGTCTTTTTGAACCGTAAAAGGAGATATTGTATTGATTCAAACAGGAAAGGTGTTTGCCAGGGTTGTGTCCTTCCATCACAGGTGTTTAACCTGTACTTAGATAATAATCTGAGGAACTGGTCTATATGAAAAAGAGCACAGCAGTTAGGATTGAAGGAAAGTTTGCTAGCAATCTGTGATATACAAATGACATGATCTTGCTGACTCATAGCAAGCACTTGAAGCACTTGCTGATCAGAATCAAAGACTATTGCCTTTATTAGGAATTATAACGCAATGTAATGAAAACAAGACATGCTCATCACTGGGAGAAAAAGCAATAGTATGATTTACAGAGAATCTATTGAAGTTGTTACTTGGATCCACAACCAACACTCATGGAAGCAGCAGAAACCCAACACCATAT